TTCGCCAAAAGGCATGTGGGAGACTAGTTATGCACGCTCAAGTTTTCTGTTTTTTTGTCTTATTTCTTGTTTGTTTCACAATAAAAAATATTTTGCATCTTCAAAGTGGTAGGCATGTTGTGTAAATCAAATGATACAAATCCCCCAAAAATCAATTTTAATTCCAGGTTGTAAGGCAACAAAATAGGAAAAATGCCAAGGGGGTGAATACTTTCGCAAAGCCACTGTATATGTACATATCTACCTCAATTACCTCTTACCCCTGCACATTGATTCGATACTGGTACCCCATGTATATAGCCAAGCTACAGTATCATTGATCATTGTGTATTTATTCCTCGTGTTACTATTATTATTCTATTATTAATATATAATTTATTTATTGTATTGTGCATTGTTGGGAAGGGCCCGTAAGTAAGCATTTCACTGTTAGTCTACACCTGTTGTTTACGAAGCATGTGACAATTACATTTGATTTGAGATGTTGTGGATATAAACATGAATGTTGTCACTTAAATGCTGTTTAGAGCTTAATTTGTGGTGAACTGTCTATCTGCTGTGAAGATATCTTTACTGAGGCTACTGTTCACAGCATGCCGTTATGAAAATCCTTTCAACTGAACCTCAAACACACCTTCATTGCCAGTCCCCATCTTCCTGTCTGAGATTCTCCACTAATCACTTCAATAACCAAATATCTCCTTCCCGCTCTGAAGCTGTCTTTGAAAAGCTCAAATAATTTAGTAAATGCACATTGGAAAGTGTCCTCACTTGGTCAGTTCTCAAAAAGCTATAATGAATGCAGTATCTGCACTTCAGAGCATTCGTGAGAGCCGTGTGCTTATCATATTAATCCAAAGGAAATACTACTAAGTGATTATAGCTAACCACTGAGGAGAATGTTGGATGCATTCATGTCCTTCTCGTGTCCTTGTCTTTGTCATGCAAGACTACTGCTCGGCACAACAGAGGTGGGTCTTGCCATGCAACACCTATATTACAGAGGTCAATGCCCTCATCTTGGTAAGTGAATAACTATGTCAAAGTAAGCCATAACCTGCTGACACTAAGGTGCATTATACTATTTAATCTTATTAGAATGGAGCCTTACTGTCACTGGTGGCACACTATGTTGGTCTGGGATTACTGGCATACTCGGCATTGGTGTTGAGATTGTGTCACGATCGTCTACGAGAGAGGACCAATGCGCAGCGTTGAAGGTGAACATAATATATATTTATTAACTGATCACACGATCAAAACAATAACCAACGATGCGTGACGTCTAAGGTTACAACACGAACAAACCTTAACGGAACAAGAAACCACAACACAAAGTGAAAAGACCGATAGTTAAATATGGCTCCCAATCAGAGACAACCAGCTGACACTCGTTGCCTCTGATTGGGAGTCACTCAGGCCCACATAGATATACAAACATAGACTTACATACCCTGGCTCAACATAACATAGTCCCCAGAGCCAGGGCGTGACAGATTGAGCCAGGAAAACACAGTAGGCTAGACAGTGGGACAAGAGAAGCCAATCTAGAAGGAAATTACCCAAGAAGACCACACTCCAAAAACATAACATACAGACATATTTAATCCATTGATAAAATGTATGTCCAGTCAGGCTGGAAATGGATGTTGCTGGGTGTGATGAGTGACATCCCCAGATGCTGGACCGTGAGAGTGTTGCTTATTCCTTTGACCTTCTGACCCCTGACCTTCCAGTGTGCTGAGCCTGCCCTTTCCAATGGCCTTGTTGCCTGACTGATCTCCTGATGGCATTTACTGTCATGCCCCACTTCCACTCTCCGTGACCATTTGGGATGATGGAATAGGAGTGCAGACGTGATGTGCTGTTCCATGGAGAATCCCAGGAGTCTGCATCATGCTTCTGCATCCTGTCAGTGTAATGGCAAACCCTGTCCTTACATGGACCCGAGGTACACAAGCACACAAACACACACACATCGAGGGAAGAGAAAGCAGAGGAGCGCTTGTCTAGTTATGTGAGCCTCTGCTTCAAGTCCGCCCTGCATGTGTGTCAGACAGGGTGACACTGTGCCCCACTGGCTAATGTCACAACATCAACAACATGTTCCCATTCATCCGTACAATAATCCTCCCCTATCTTGATTTATGTCAATACAGTTATATCAAGAGAGACCCTTGAAGAAACTAAACACTGTCAAAATTACTTTGTGCCTCTTGCATAGTGATTAAACCCAAGGGGCTAGAATCTATGATATTGCTAGTCTTGGCTGTTGATTTATTTTTCCTGTTGATAAACCCTCATTGGTCTCTAACTGTTGGCTGCTTATGTGACTGTGGAGAAAGAATCTCCCTGCTAAATCTCATCACTAAGCTAAGGACCGTGGGACTAAACACCTCCCTCTGCAACTGGATCCTGGACTTCCTGACGGGCCACCCCCAGGTGGTAAGGGTAGGTAACAACACATCCGCCACGCTGATCCTCAACACGGGGGCCCCTCAGGGGTGCGTGCTCAGTCCCCTCTTGTACTCCCTGTTCACTCATGACTGCATGGCCAGGCACGACTCCAACACCATCATTAAGTTTGCCGATGACACAACAGTGGTAGGCCTGATCACCGACAACGACAAGACAGCCTATAGGGAGGAGGTCAGAGACCTGGCCATGTGGTGCCAGGACAACAACCTCTCCCTCAACGTGATCAAGACAAAGGAGATGATTGTGGACTACAGGAAAAAGAAGAGGACCGAGCACGCCCCCATTGTCATCGACTGGGCTGTAGTGGAGCAGGTTGAGAGCTTCAAGTTCCTTGGTGTCCACATCACCAACAAACTAACACGGTCCACGCACACCAACACAGTCGTGAAGAGGGCACGACAAAACCTATTCCCCCTAAAGAGACTGAAAAGATTTGGCATGGGTCCTCAGATCCTCAAAAAGTTATACAGCTGCACCATCGAGAGCATCCTGACTGGTTGCATCACTGCCTGGTATGGCAACTGCTCGGCCTCCGACAGCAAGGCACTACAGAGGGTAGTGCGTATGGCCCAGTACATCACTGGGGCCAAGCTTCCTGCCAACCAGGACCTCTATACCAGGCGGTGTCAAAAGAAGGCCCAAAAAATGTTCTACGACTCCAGCCACCCTAGTCATAGACTGTTCTCTCTGCTACCGCAAGGCAAGCGGTACCAGAGCATCAAGTCTAGGTCCAAGAGGCTTCTAAACGGCTTCTACCCCAAAGCCATAAGACTCCTGAACATCTAATCAAATGGCTACCCAGACTATTTCCATTGCCCCCCACCCCTCTTTTACGCTGCTGCTACTCTCTGTTTATTATCTATGCATAGTCACTTTAATAACTCTACCTACACTACCATTCAAAAGTTTGGGGTCACTTAGAAATGTCCTTGTTTTCGAAAGAAAAGCAATTTTTTTATCCATTAAAATAACATCAAATTGATCAGAAATACAGTGTAGACATTGTTAATGTTGTAAATGGCTATTGTAGCTGGAAACTGCTGATTTTTAATGGAATATCTACAGTACATAGGCGTACAGAGGCCCATTATCAGCAACCATCAGTCCTGTGTTCCAATGGCACGTTGTGTTTGCTAATGCAAGTTTATTATTTTAAAAGGCTAATTGATCATTAGAAGACCCTTTTGAATTATGTTAGCACAGCTGAAAACTGTTGTGCTGATTTAAAGAAGCAATAAAACTGGCCTTCTTGAGACTAGTTGAGTATCTGGAGCATCAGCAATTGTGGGTTTGATTACAGGCTCAAAATGGCCAGAAACAAATAACTTTCTTCTGAAACTCGTCAGTCTATTCTTCTTCTGAGAAATGAAGGCTATTCCATTCAAGAAATTGCCAAGAAAAAGCCATATCTCAGACTGCCCATCTTAATCTTTTCTTTTTATTGGCCAGTCTGAGATATGGCTTTTTCTTTGCAACTCTGCCTAGAAGGTCAGCATCCCAGAGTCAGCTCTTCACTGTTGACGTTGAGACTGGTGTTTTGCAGGTACTATTTAATGAAGCTGCCAGTTGAGGACCTGTGAGGCGTCTGTTTCTCAAACTCCTCTTTCTATTCTGGTTAGAGCCAGTTTGCGCTGTTCTGTGAAGGGAGTAGTACAAAGCGTTGTACGAGATCTTCAGTTTCTTGGCAATTTCTTGCATGGAATAGCCTTCATTTCTCAGAAGAAGAATAGACTGACGAGTTTCAGAAGAAAGTTATTTGTTTCTGGCCATTTTGAGCCTGTAATCAAACCCACAATTGCTGATGCTCCAGATTCTCAACTAGTCTCAAGAAGGCCAGTTTTATTGCTTCTTTAATCAGCACAACAGTTTTCAGCTGTGCTAACATAATTCAAAAGGGTCTTCTAATGATCAATTAGCCTTTTAAAATAATAAACTTGCATTAGCAAACACAACGTGCCATTGGAACACAGGACTGATGGTTGCTGATAATGGGCCTCTGTACGCCTATGTAGATATTCCATTAAAAATCAGCCGTTTCCAGCTACAATAGCCATTTACAACATTAACAATGTCTACACTGTATTTCTGATCAATTTGATGTTATTTTAATGGACATTTTTTTATTCTTCTAAGTGACCCCAAACTTTTGAACGGTAGCGTACATGTACATATTACCCCAATTACCTCGACTAACCGGTGCCCCCTCACATTGACTCTGTACCGGTACCCCCTCTATATAGCCTCGCTATTGTTATTTTTACTGCTGCTCTTTAATTATTTGTTACTTTTATTTTTCATATTATTTTACATAGTATATTTTTGTGCTTTTTTGGGGGGGGGTATTCTTTCTTAAAACTGCATTGTTGGTTAAGGGCTTGTAAGTAAGCATTTCACTGTAAGGTCTACACACGTTGTATTCGGCGCATGTGACAAATAAAATTTGATTTGATTTGAAAATCTGTCAGTGTATTAACCATGCTTACCTTCTTCAGTCTGCCACTCCTGGTGCCAATGAAGGCCACGCTGTAGCCGTTATAGACATAGGAGGTGACAGAGGTCAGCCTGTCCCTGGTCTCAGTGTACACCATCAGGCCAGCTACCAGCTGGGAGCCCCCCAGGGGCTGGTTGATGTCCAGCCCACAGAAGTGATCATCGATAGGCACAGGCTGCAGAGAGAGATGGGGAAAGACGGGGAGACATGGGTGAGACAGAAGAGCAAGAGAAGGAGACGGAGTAAGAAAGATTAAAAAGACTACTGTAATAATCTTCACATTTGTTACACTTAATTACCATAGTTTTCAAGGCAGCGTCTTCAAAAGATATTGGGGCTGTTAAATTTGTCAACAATGCAGAGAGTGTGTTTGTTGAGCATTTTAATTGCTCTTGGCAAACATAAGAACGCCATGTATTTGGTGCCGGTTTCTGTGATTTTAAATCGCTTGATCTGACATCACACAAACACACAGCCCCAGAGATGTCAGGTTTTGATTTAGCATCAAAGAGGCTCACACGCTAAGCAGTCCTGCTACAGCTAGCACAATCCACCTCAAACCTCCACTAATAGCCTGTCAGGTAGAATAGAAATCTCACTTTTTAGGGCAACACATTTGTACTTTCATTTCCTGCACCTCTCAAGAGAATCTCTTCTGCTTTCTTCTGCACTGGAACAGTGATGACATGGGTAAGAGGCAGTATATGACTATTAGCAAAATGGGTGGTTGTGTGAGAGTTGCTGAATAACAACCTTGATTGATGTCCTTGTTACCTGTTTTTCTGAATGCTGAGAGAGAGAGAGAGAGAGAGAGAGAGAGAGAGAGAGAGAGAGAGAGAGAGAGAGAGAGAGAGAGAGAGAGAATAGAAGAGAGAGCTGAGCAGATAGATAGAGAGAGTAGAGAGAGCGAGCTATATAGCTATCTACTTCCTCTACTCTCGAGAACGAATAGAGCGCTCTTCAGCTACCGCTCGCTCATCATCTCCTCACCACCTCTGCACTCACCAATAATATATAAATAAATTGCCTTCTCGGAGGAGAAGCGTGCTGCTCTGACCACTGCCCCACGCAGGGAGAGCCTAAACCTCTGAATGGAATCAAAGCTGCATACAAAACTCCTCTGATTAGAATTGTAAATGTATCTCCCCCACTTACTACTCTGTTGCTCTTGTGGAATATAAAAAAAGATTGAATGGGGCTCCGCAACAGGATACCTGCCTATCAGCTACTGTTAGTTTAACCAAGGCTGTGGGGTAATCAAAAAGCTTTAAATATTACATTCTTTAACCTGCCACCTCCACTGTCTGAATAATGTGTCTGTATGCCACATCAGAGGAGCCAGTGCTGGTCTTCCCCTGGCTAGCTGGATACTAATGAAGGGACTGGTTGCAAAGCCCTCTTCAGACAGCTACAGGTACCTACCGCCTTGGTGCACTGCACGTCCTTTCCCAGCAGCCAGTGTAGTTCCAGGTTGCCCTCTCCCTGGTAGCAGGACTGCAGGCGCTCTTTGATGCGGGCGTTGATGTCTCGGATGGTAAAGATACACAGGGCCGAGTTGTCCAGGGGCTCGTGGTACTGCTTCTGGCCCTTGGTGAACACAGCAAAGAGGACGTCATCCTGGGCACTGATGTTGAGGGACCTGGCCAGTACCTTCCCTGCCTTGGACAGGTGGGCGGCCTGTAGGAGGCGATACTCCTCTCCCTTGTGTACACAGCCCACTGGCAGAGACACATAGGAGTGGAACTTCTTGTCCCCTTTGCAGAGGCGTATGATGCGGGTTGTGTAGAACAGGTCACCTGGGGAACTGCCAGCAGTCATCCCATTCTCTGGGGTCTCTGGCTGCACGGTCAGGAAGTAGACAAAGTTCCCGCTGGCGAAGCCGTAGATGTAGTAGATGTCAAAGCGTGGGACCAGAGCTAGTGTGTCAGAGGGGATCTTAATGAGAGAGGAGACAAAGTCAGTGTGGAGCTCGTAGTCCAGCATAGCAGAGGACTCTGGGTCACGGGGCAGTTTACGGCTGGAGATGGTAGGGAAGTAGTCCTGCTTCCCACCCACGGCCGTGCCGATGAACAGGGTGCCGTCCTGACCCTGCGAGGAGGGCACGATGACCCCATACATGGTGCCTGTTTGGTTGACACTGGAGAGGTAGTGCTCTTTCTTGTGGGTGGGCTCCACCAGGATAAACAGGTCGTCCTGTCGCATTAGCTTACAGATGCCTTGGTAGAGGCTGCCACAGGCCAGCAGGCGGTTGTGGGAGTAGTCTATGAGCAGCAGTTTGTTGATGTTGTCAGTGGAGGCCAGGGGCTCAGAGCAGGGCTGCACTATAAGTGGAGGGTAACAGGCCTTGTTGTCGTACTCAGGCCCTGTGTCATGAGAGACCAGGAGGGTCAGGTTGGCAGATAGCTTGTAGATCCGGTTCACAGCACCAACATAGAGAGCTCCAGTGGTCTTGTGCACAATCAGGTGGTTCAGGGTCCACTCCCTTCTCTCTGACTGGAAGGTGTTGAGGGACTGGGACTGGCCTTGGCCCATCGCTAGGGAGATGGACATCAGGACCAACAGCCACCACATCAGGGAACATGACTGCCCCTTAGTACTGCCGCAGTAAGTCCATCCTATATCCAAACACGTCCACATCCCCATAGGACTTCTAAGAGATGGCAAGTCCAGACTAAATGTCTAGTGCTGTAGGGCAGGAATGAATAAGACTGTTCTCAGTCAGGCTGCACTGTAGTTGATATCCTCAACAATGGTCTTCACATTATCCTGAAAGAGAAGAGAAATGGTTCGTTTTAGATTTGAGATGACCCAGAATACTTTGAATCAATCAGAAACAAATCAAAGGCGTTATAATAAACCTTTCATAAACCTTTAGCAAGGACTCATAAAACAGGGTTTTATTCATAACGTTTTGGTTCAAATAAAAATATGAATAACCTCCCCAATTTTACAAGGTTGACATTTTACAATGACGAGTTTCCCATTATAAAAGACAGGGCTAAGAAGAAATACAGGCCAGAGACAGAACACAATCACACTGATAAATTGATAAATACCATCTTGAAATGGTTTCACCCTTGTTGTTCTCTCCCACTCTGCTTTCTCAGACACAACATACATCAACAGAATATGTAATTCCAGTAATCATTTCACAGGATCAGTGTAGTCTTCTATCCCCATTGCAATCAATACAGAGTGCTAGATTAGCAGGAGAGGTGGTCTCTCTGCTATCCCTATGTGCAGGGGCTCATTATCTCTCTGTGACTGCCAGGGAGGTCTGTAGCCTATTACTTCAACAAAGCAGTGACAAACAGTGACTCTGTGGTTTACATACTGTTTAGACAGCTAATTAAATAGGATCCAAATGTATTAATTATGCTTACATATTTCCAGCTGCCTGTTTTATTTTCTTACCTCCCTCTTGTTCTCCTAAATGGTTAAATCCTCCAGGAATTAATCACTCTCTCCAGCACGGCCGACATTCCTAAATTAATCAGGCCTTTTCCAGGGATGGCGGAGAATCATTTAGGATTCAGAGTCGGGCAGCATCAACCCTTTCGCTTCCCCTTTTAACTTAATTAGCATATTTTATGTAGATGTTTCAACCAGGGGACAAACAATGCCCCTAGAATACTGCATGGAATGGATGGATGGATGGATGAGTGGATGGATGAGTGGATTAGAGAAAGGAGAGTGAAAGCCTTGTAAAAATATATTTATTCATGACTTTCTTTCTTTTCACAATCTATTCATCATCATGTGCTGTATGCTTTGAGTTTGCATCTGTCTAAATGAAAACAATTCTCACACTGATTAGATAACCTGGTTAGTAAATTTGGACCTGAAGAACAAATGGCACTTTTACCGGGCCTCCTTTTTTATGAGTCCTTATTATTCTAGGGTAGGGAACATTGATCACAATGAGGTAGAACTGTTGGCTTCATACATGCACTCACTTCATCCCAGTCCATTATAGTAGTAATAAAAGTGCCATGCGCGGAGGAGAGGACTGTAAATTAGGAGCCCACATCTGCCTGCACCCGCTTCTTTTGTCTGAGTCCCAGCAGCTCTAGAGGCTTGGCCAAGCTGTCTCTCTAAGGCTGTGGAGCCCCAACACACCACATGCTCTGTCCTGTCTGATGCCAGACCAACAGCTCTCTACTGTAGCCTCACTGCTTCACAAACCATTCAGCTTCCCAGTGGAATGGTACGGAAGCATCTGACCAGCTCAAAGCCTTTAGCTTGGAGACAATTGCCTTCTCTGTCCCAGGTCCCCTTAAGATAGGAAAATAGATAATTTATCTCAATGAGACTTCCTGGTTAGAATAAATGTTAAATAAAAATTGTCATGTGTGTCCTCGCAGCGGACAGCAGTGGCCATGGCTGCACTCCATAACTGCTAACAGGATGTCCGGCTTTGTGTAGGAGCCAGGGATGGGGAGGACAGACAGGACAGGGGGACTGACACGGTGGTGTCTGGGTTTTCTCCAGCTCCACTCCAGCATCTCCTCTCCATCTGTCCCTGCCTCAAAGACTTCAGGGGGGAAATCACTGGAGTGTCCCTTTTTCCTCTGGTCCCTTTGGCAAACAGACACTCTGTGTGTATAATCTCCCTGTTCTCTACAACATACAACACATATCCTATTATATACTCACTCTCAAACTGATGAGAATTATACACTGAGTGTACAAAACATTAGGCACACCTGCTCTTTCCATGACGCAGACTGACCAGGTGAATCCAGGTGAAAGCTATGATCCCTTATTGATGTCAATTGTTAAATCCAATTAAATCGGCGTAGATCACAGGAGGTTGGTGGTACCTTAATTGGGGAGGATGGGCTCAGAGTAATGGCTGGAATATAATCAATGGAATGGTAATCAAACTCATCAAACACATGATTTCCATATGTTTGATACCATTCCATTTGCTCCATTCCAGCCATTATTATGAGCCGTCCTCCCCTTAGCAGCCTCCTGTGGTGTAGATGAAGGGGAGGAAAGGACTTTTAAGCCTTGAGACAACTGAGACATGGATTGTGTATGTGTGACATTCAGAGGGTGAATTGGCAAGACAAAAGTTTTAAGTGAACGGGGTGTGGTAGTAGGTGCCAGGCACACCGGTTTGTGTCAAGAACTGCAACGCTGCTGGGTTTTTCAGGTTCAACAGTTTCCCATGTGTATCAAGAATGGTCCACCACCCAAAGGACATCCAGCCATCTTGACACAACTGTGGGAAGCATTGGAGTCAACATGGGCCAGCATCCCTGTGGAACGCTTTAGACACCTTGGAGATATCCATGCTCCAACGAATTGAGGCTGTTCTGAGGGCAAATGGGGGTCGGGGGCGCAACTCAATATTAGGATGGTGTTCTTAATGTTTTGTGCACTGTGTACATACTGGCACCGGCATTGCTGCCCTGTTCTGTTGTCATCATGCAGTTACTCGGTTGTAGTACTACAAATTTAAGGCTGGATGTTACAAGGAAAATGTCAAAACTCTGTATATCCAGATAAAAATAAAACGTGTCATCATTGCCCTGGAAGGCTGTGCTGTGCAGGATCCACATAAAAGGTCAATCCTGTGGCCCCTGGGAGGGAGAGCAAGAGATGCTGACTGGAATAGCTACTATCAGAGCCTTGGCTACTGTAGCTCTACCAAGCATTCCTTCCCTAGCCATTCCTTCTCCTTTGATTTGAACAAAAGTATCACGTCCTTCTCCTGACAATCCCTCTCTCACATCTGCATGATGCAGACTCTGAGTAGGGTTGGAAAATTCCTGGAACATTCAATAAATTCCCTGGTTTTCCCAAAATCCCGTTTGGAGGATTTCCGGAATAAGGAGGTAATAAGCAAGAAATCTGGAATCCTCCAACCAGGATATCTGGAAAACCAGGGAATTTATTGAAAGTTCCCGGAATTTTGCAACCCTAACTCTGAGACATTCCTGATCTAGTTTCTATACTGATATAATAACATACTGTATTTAGTTGGCCTTTGTAGTGAAATATAATGAGTAGCCTTAGCCTAGTGAGTCTCTGGGCCCTGTGACATGATTCACACACAGGTGTGAGCCGTAGCTCTGTTTTATGATGGCTTCAGGGTAATCTGGTTTGTCTCTATGCAACATTTAATTGTTGTACATGCAGAGAATGAATTCCATTAACAGATTGCGCAAGCAAATGGATTGTTGCTAATCATTTTTATCCCCCAAGGAGTAGACCCAATTTCAAACTCTATATTAAGCTCTCAGTTTACAATATCATGGGAGACCACCTTGCTGTGTTCAGTGGTTTGGGAAATCCATTATTTTATTTTAAGTCATTCCAATCCAAAATCATATGAAAAACTTCAGTGTTATGAACCTCAACATAATTTGCATTAAGATGTTAGTTGCGCCTCAAGTATTGTGCCTGTGTCTGTGCAAAATTATAGGTACTCCCTCAATTTTTGTTCCACAATACAGAGACCTACAGAGGTTAATTCAGTGTTGTGAAGATCAAGCCAAACATAACAAGGTGGGTCAGAAGCAGGAAGTAACAGCAGCCCATCCATTTATTTTCTTCTCAATTCAGTCACGTCTGAGGCGTGCAGTAATGCTGCTTGCTCTGTTTACCCTAGATTATAGAGAGAGCATCTTGCTGGCTGCAGCCCTCCCTGCTGAATACACTGCCTCGCCAGTCAGACACGCTCCTGCCAACCCCATCCTCAGCCCCAGACGTGACTCATTCACACACACTCATAGAAGAACATGCTCAGGCCTCTGGCTACGGTGGCGGGCACCAATCAGAGTCAAAATTCCATGCCACCATGTTTAATTTGACCTTAAGACCCCCACCAAGATCCACAGGGCTGTGCCTATGTTTTCAGCCTGCATTGGGGTAACATTCTGGCATAAACTCTGCAGTGTCTTATTATGTGTGATTCATTTGAGGGTAACCGTCTGTAACCATACATAAACATGAACTAAAATGTTCTCCCCCTTTGTGCACTTCATGCACAGTGCTTATTGTACTTTATGGCTCAGTGTGGCCCAATGCGTTCCATTTGCAGCAGCCTCTGAGGCTCCTGCTGGGTACAGGCTGATAACATGTGAGAAGATTGGAATCAGTCAGACTCTGACACCAACTTTCAGGCTGCAGGACAGACACAATGTTCTCACACTGAGTCAACAATAGAGTTGTGTTATTTCATCAGATGTGATGAAAACGGTGTCTCTTGTGGCCTAGTCTGATCAGGCTGGACAAAACAGAGTAATAACACAGTATGGAGGCACAGGGACAGTAGTGTACAGATATAGGATCTTAATTTGACCTATATTTTCACAGCAAAATAATCCTGCAGCAACAGGATTTGAACAGGTTTAGGCCATAATGTTGCTTGATCGATGGTTAGGCTATTAGCTGGTCAATAGTAGGCTACATGAAAAGTGCAATACTGTTAATATAACTGGGTTTTCAGTGAATTTATGTAAATCACAAAACTCATCTACATTTCTTAGCAACAAAAGGACAATTCTCAGCAACAAAAGAGTGATCAAATCAACATCTGTATGTGATCTAGTCATATCAAACCTGCACTGCCTCCAGATAATTGCTGTACATCAATGTTCCACACTTCTAGGTTTTAGTGTGGAATATAT